TACAAAAAAATCGTCAAACAATTCGGGATGATACTAGTAAAACGTGTGTAGTACATGTATGTCGAGTGTAAAATCGGTCTTAAACCGTGTAACGTGACCAAACTAGAGGCTCCCAAGTGCCTGTGTCGCTTTCCTGTATGTACTGTTGTTTTGGAAATCATGTAAAATAAGGTTAAATTCATAATTAATAGTATTAGATATCCTAATAATGATTGAGGCCAAGTTTGGTTTAATTTGGCCTAGTAGTTAAATTAAAGGCAGGTCATCCTATTGTAGTCTTACAATAGTTACTGAAGACCCCTTATAATTATTTAAATTAGTTTTCAAGTTGTGACCATTTGAAATTGTTTTTTTTACAATTTTCCCTTAGACTTCTATAGTAGACCCCTATGTTTTATTTTAGCCATGGCGGCCATGTTGGTTGGATGACAGGATCATCGGATACATTGTTCAATCAAGATACTCTATTGAAAATTGTGGTTAAGTTTAATTCTATTTGGCCCAGTAGATTAAGTGGAGAAGATTTTTATAAAAGATTACAAAAATTTACGAAAAATTGACTATAAAGGGCAATAACTCCTTAAGGGGTCAATTGACAATTTTGGTCATATTGACTTATTTGTAGAGCGTACTTTGCTGAACATTATTGCTGTATACAGTTTATCTCTATCTATAATAATATTTGAGATAATAACCAAAAACTGCAAAATTTCCTTAAAATTACCAATTTAGGGGCAGCATCCCAACAACGGGTTGTCTGATTCGTCTGAAAATTTCAAGGCAGATAGATCTAAACCTGATGAACATTTTTATCTATGTCAGATTTTCTCTAAATGCTTTAGTTTCAGAGATATAAGCCAAAAACTGCATTTTACCCCTATGTTCTATTTTAGCCATGTCGGCCATGTTGATTAGCGGGCGGGGTCATCGGACACATTTTTTAAACAAGATACCCTAATGATTGTGGCCAAGTTTGGTTAAATTTGGCCGAGTAGTTTTAGAGGAGAAGATTTTTGTAAAAGTTAACGGATAACGGACGACGGACGCCAAGTGATGAGAAAAGCTCACTTGGCCCAGTGGGCTAGGTGAGCTAAAAATGAAAGTTTGAAATTGAAACACACACCATTTGCGATAGAGACACCAGACACTGAAAAACTAAATAGCGCAAGTACAACAAACAAAGAGCAATTGAATTGACTAGGTGTGAACTCATGTGATGTATACGTTCAAAAGCAGAGTGCATATGAGAGGTATATGGAAGGAGGTTCATTGATCTGAAGTTTCAATGATTATCATATTGTGTTTTTGTTTGAAGATGTAACTTAAAAACATGTGGAGCAGGATCTGCTTTCTCTCCCGGAGCACCTGAGATCACCCCCGGGTTTTTGCTGGGTTCGTGTTGCTCATTCTTTAGTTTTCTATGTTATGTTTTGTATACTGTTTTTTTCTCGTTTTTTTGCCATGGCGTTGTCAGTTTAATTTAGACTTATGAGTTTGAATGTCCCTTTGGTATCGTTCGCCTCTCTTTTTTGAAAACAAGATAAGCCCAACTTTGTATTTTGAGTTAGAAGATCTTGGTACCGTGTAAAAATATCTTTAAATATAAAACTCGTATGAATATGTTGAAAATATTCATGTCAAACGTTAACTAATACGAGCTAAACAGATTAATACATTTCTAACACACATCTTGAATCGTACCTCTGCTGCGTGAGGTGTGCCATTTCTTGATCACCTTTACCGGGGATGCTCAAAACTTGGGTACTTACAGACAATAACTACTCCACTCATTGGCTTGACATGCGGGCAGCACGTTTTTGTAACAATCTTTACCACGTATACTCTCGTCGACAAAAGTTTGATAAGTCTGTGAGAGACATGTGAATGGGTCAAATTTATCGGTTATAATCCATGTATTTCGGATATTGGTGTATACTGGTACCTACATTTAATGGTTTGTTTATTACAGCAATATCATTACATGTGCAATATTACACATCTAATATTTTTAAATATTTATAACGGAAGTTTTACAATTGGTAATTATAGTGTCAGGAACATCCTTTTTGGTTGGTTTTCCCCATCACATATTGATTTAAGGGTTCTTTCCCCATCACATATTGTTTTAAGGGTTCTTTCCCCATCACATATTGTTTTAAGGGTTCGGTCCCCATCACATATTGTTTTCAGGGTTCTGTCATTTGAAAAACGTGGTATTGATGGCAGATCTTTGATGGCAGATCTTTGATAGTATCTGTTTTATAGTTTCGCCTGTTGATATTTAGAGTTTATATGGTTCCCATGCTTGTTATAATCATGCAGATTTGAAACGGTGGTGGATAAAAAAAAAATGAAAAAGGCGAAGGGGCTCAAGAAAAATATTGTCCACAAGGGAGGGCCCGAAGTCAATAATAAGAGAAATATACTTAAAAAAACGAACTTTTGGAAATGGAGGGTTACACCTTGTCCCTTTCCATCCATGTTTGGTGAGAATAGATACATTATTTGAGCAACAAAAAAGTTTTTTCTGAGCAATTGTGAACTTAACAGCCATTTTCAGATCTGTAATAATTTCTTTTAATATCTTCATATCTGAACTAAAAAAATAGTCAATGAAAAAAATCATTCACTCTAACGCAAGTTTTGTGATGGGTCGATCAAATACCGACTCCTAACTATACCGTCATTAAATAAATAAAAAAAGCGATGTCATATGAATATAAAGAGAATTGGGGTAAACAGCAATGAAACTGCAAACCAACAACTTAAATAACCACTCCAAAAACTTTCAGAGAGCAACATGTTCATACCGTCCCCTTTCAACCACGCCTTGTCCATGCGTGCAAATCTTCCTATTAAGCGTAAAAAAACTCCGAAAACTCCTCATTTCCTTGTATTCAGAGCCGGATATAGTTGGGCCAGGGGATCGGGCCCCTTAATAGATCTGCATATAGTTGATGGATAGACTTTTTACAAGCCCCGCTCATAGTGTTGTCATGCTGGTGCACCCCCATTTAATCTGATCATATTTAAAAATAAAAGTTTTTACAAACAAATTATATGTTTGAAGATTACAAGAGTATGACGTATACACAATGGTTTTATATATTTTAACAGTAAATTCAGTACGGTAGTAAAATTTGTTCCCTGGACTTTTTTCCTGGTTATCAAGTCCATGACCATAATTTTCCTAGGAATGTAAGTCCCAGAATAAATTTTCCTAGGAAAATAAGTCCATACTAAGCTAGTAAAATATGTCTGTCACTTACTTTCCTACTAATAAAAGACATGGGCGTTTTACCTAGGAATATTAATGAAACGGACATGAATTCCTAGGAAAATTAGTCTGGGGACATATATTTTACTAAAGATCAATGCACAACTGTTAAACAAATGATTAAAACATAACAATTAAAAATTCCAATGTTTACATGTTAATGATTTCTTTCCTTACAAATCTTCCTATTAAAATAAAGGACATATGGACGTTTTTACCTAGGAATATTAATGAAATGGACATGAATTTCTAGGAAGATAAGTCTGAGGACATAAATTACTGACATCGGACTAAAAAAACTAGTAAATTCTGAAAACATGGACTTTTTATACTAGTAATATGTGTCCGCCCGGACACATTTTACCAGGACTAATTTTTCTCTTACATATATTTAAAAAATATCAGCTGCATGCGTATAACGGGTCAAGTAAAAGATATATATATATATACATGTGTATATGAGCATGGCACGTACGTTAAAGAGATAAAACATTATAGAGTTCAACTTGATTAGAGGCTGTACATTGACTCAAAAGGGAAGCGGCCCTAGATGTGTCTTCCATCAAACATATATAGTACAGAAATCCAAGTAAATCATAGTGTTACAAAACAACATGACATTATCTTAGAAAACAACAAATAAACCCGGCTATACATAAAAAACAGTTTGAACATGAATAAACCACACACACGCACGCACACACACACATATATATACTTGCATATATGTCTATAGTAATACCTATATTTGATATAAATTATATCTGGGAAATTCAATAGTTCACTGATGATCACTGATAGTCAATATTATATTATGTCCCAGTATATATTTAGTTTGTCATGTAATATGCTCTTTGTGAGCCCATTTGACAGTTTATCGGAAAATAAAAGATATTCGTAGACTTCTTCTATATATGATTAATGCATAGACTTTTTACATGTCCACTCCTGTAACGTTTGCCGAGGGTGGTAAAGGGTTATTTTCGTGCAACGTGATCGCCGTTTTTTATTTCACGTTCAACGTGTTTTTACTTTTTTATTTAACGTTCAGTCGTGTAAGACAGGTGCCTCGTTCAACGTGTTCTGCTTATTTAATTTTACGTGCATCGTGATTTTCAAAAGCTTATTTTGCGTGCTCGGTATTTTTCAAATAAAATTCAAATACTTGGCAGGGATCGTCAAGAAATACTTTTTTAAAAGCCGTAAACCATTTACATCATAAATGTGTATACTAAATCGGGAATAACAAGTAAAACAGAGAGTTTATATATACAAGAAGACAGTGACTCAACCTCAACCTCACAAAAGGTTCACAAAAATCTTTATTTTTCGTGCAACGTTCATGACGTTCAACGTGAAATTATGTCTTATTTCACGTTTTTTCCGTGCAAGCACCCCCCCTTTTACCACCCTCTTTGCCTAGTCCCCCTTTCAAAATGGATCCGCATCAGTCTTTCTTCTGTAAACCTGGGACTATTATTTCACAGTGAGACGGACAAACCGTGACATAATCATATTTATGCATTTTATTTTAAGATTTTTTTTAAATAGAATCAACTCCGGCACTCCATCCACCCTGGGAACAGTATATCTAACGTCAATATAAATATATGTTCCTGATCCACCAAGCAGTTTTTTTAAGTCACCCGCCTGACGGATCATGACGCGATTTGAAAATCAATAGAATTATTGACATCGAGAAAGTTGTTTCTTTCCCCTTACCCGCTAGGGATCGTAATTAATCAAAGCAGATTTTACTTGCTTGAGCTCATGCTCAAAATACTAACAGGTATCAAATGTAATCTAAAAGAAAAGCATAATTTATTTCCTTCTACATGCATAATGATATTTCAAAAATTCTTATATGTGAAAAATTCCTTAATTTATGGATGTTTAAATGGGAGGTAACTCCAGTCTTACAAGCGGCATCACTGTTTACCTGTTTACAACAGGTTGAATAAATTTTCATGTTATTAAGCATCAGCTGAGTGAGGTTTGATATCACAAGGCTACTATTGAAAAGATGACTAAAAGTTTAACATAATTTATGGTAATTATTGTTTAGATTGGTTTAGGGGAAAATTGGTTGGCAAACCCTTTGTTTGTAGCACAGGTACATAATTTGTTGTACACAGGATTCTCACTAGGATATTTTGATAGAGAGTTCTGGGACTCTTCTGTTTTTGAAATGGTGAATCCCTGTCGATTCTGACGAGTCCATAGTACTGTAACTCATTATAGTTCTGATACGAACCATCATGTATAGCTAACTGACTCTTTGTAGCGTGTTTGCATTGAGTGTGGGAGGTCATGGGTTCAAACCCCGGCCTGGTCAAACCAAAGACTTTAAAATTGGAATTTGCTGCTTCTCCGCTAAGTATGCGGCATTAACATGATTAAGGAGTGAGAGCAAAGACAGGTCAGCTCGTAATCAGAATAATGTGTCCTGGTAAGGTGACATGTCTTTCTGAGGACTGTTACCGTGTAAACTAGCACGTTAAAAATCCGGCTCAGCATGTCGGTCTAGTACAAAGCAGTATTACATTAACATGTTCTCCTGACTATGCATATTAATTTGCCGCTGGACTTTAAGCAGCCATCCATCATCATCATCATCATCATGTTTAGCTAAGTGGACTTCCTCAAATAGAAGAATCTTTAAATTAAATCTGGATTAGTCAGATTGATATAGCATATATTTATAAATACAAACAACCACATCTTTGTACTCCTCCAACTCTAATAAACACATATGTTTTGGGTTTTTCTAATTGTTGAAGGCCATATGATTACCAGTTATTGTTTACATCCTTAGCTTGCCTTTATGTGTTTACATGACAAACAGCTCATACCATACCTCCTTATATTAACATGTAAGTCACAGTACCCAAATTGCACATGTAACCAATTTGCAACAATTTTGTAAAAAGGGGGAGGAAAATCTAACAGATTTCTTAGGGACTGAACAATTTGTATTTTTATAATTTGCAGTTACATGTATGTATGTCTTTCAACATAGCTAAATAAATTTAAATGTACACATACATGTAACAGTCACATTATATATCAGCAGATGAAGTATTAAGTGAAAAAGGTAAAATCAACGTAGTCATTGCATGTGACATACAGGATTTATAGTGAAGACGCTTTATATCAGTGTGGTGAACTTATTACTCATTGGTAAATAATTGCTTTTCTCAACGGGATTTTAGCATTTTCTTCCATTTGAAAATGTGTCAGCTGGCATACAAATCATGATAGTACATCATGCATAGATTGACACTAAAGTATTCAATCAGTATACATTGTAATACAATTTCAGACGTAGGTAAAGTTCAGTGATAATTTTTACCATGTGGTTCGGTTGAGAACTTGAGAACAAAACTTTACGACCAAAGAGATGATTTCAGCTTCCCAATTGTGAACTTTCCATTTCTATGTTGCAACATTCCAGCCATCTTCACTAGCCAAGGATTACGATCCAGTCCCCTCCTCTCCACCCTTGGCCAAGATGCATACCAGCACAACCTGCAAATAAAGTATATATCTCCCAGTTGATATGATATTCCATAGCTTACATTTCCTATCATGATTTCCTTGATAGAGGGTTGCTGCTTACAAGAAAGCTATTGAACCAAGAGTTCCAAGTGGTGAAGTTGAAATCATCCCTTCAAACATTTTGCAGACATCATCAGTAGTTGGTTGATCATTATATGATATCTGTTTCACAGATGATGACGGATATATGTTCCAATTGTTGTACCACAATCCTGTCCTCTTTCCTTAAATGGGACCTACTGAATTAGACATCACTGTGTTTATACTTACATGAGCAACATGATAGGTGCCACATGTTGAGCTGGATCTGCTCACCCTTCCTGAGCTCCTGAGATCACCCCTGGTTTATGTTTGGGTTTGTGTTGCTCAGTCTTTAGTTTTGTATGTTGTGTTTTGCGTACTGTTGTTTGTCTTTTCGTCGTTTTTTGTTTTTTGCCATGCCTTTGACATAGTCCGTTTGTTATATAATTATCGAGTTTGAATATACCTTTGGTATCTTTTGCCTCTCTTCTTTAACAGTTAATCCGGTATACTAACGATATTTTAGTCTTGGAAAAAATAGTCTTAAGATTGCTTTGATATCTGACAGCCTATTTGGACTTGAACATGTTGAAAAGGACTATATAGAAAACAGGAATTACTGTCAGATCCAGAATTAGTAGTTGGGAGATCATTTTTATTTTCATATCATAATTGTTTAGATCTATTGTCAGGCAGATAAATCATAAACAAGCTTTTCTTTTTCATTTTGTTCCAGGAATATGTAACTATCCCTTTGTAGGTGATCTGAAGGCTTTATTCCTTCCAAAGCCCATTTACAGGGAGGGAATATTATCCTGTGAATTCCTCTACACACTATGAGAACAATTTAATAATGCACATATGTTTATTATTTATGCAGATAATTTTCAATAGAGATAAAATTTCCAACCAAAATGGGTAAAACTTCAAATGTACAGATGAAGTCAAAGACAGAAGAAAGTAGCAATGACCAAAATTTTACAGAGATGTCTAGTGATCATGAGGAATCTACAAGAAAAAAACCAGAATATTTAACAGGTGCATAGATCACGCTCATAATGCATATGTTTTAGTGTTAGATCTTAAGTCCTTTGAAAATATGGTTATTAATTATATACAGATACATTTGTATAATATTATCATATTAGAATCACATTGAATTTCAATTAAATTGAAAATACTTTTAACATGTTTAAAATGTAGTCTGTTCAGGCACTGAAGTAACTGCCTACCTCTATCATTTTAAAAGTTATAAACATGCTAAAAATACGGTAAATTACATAATTGAAACAAAAGCAACAGTGATATTAATTTTAAAATGATAAAGTAAATTTATAGAAGATATAGAAAAATTAAATATTTATAACAGACAGCAGGTTAAACAATATTGAAAGTGGTCATAAAACAAAGCATGCCAAGAATATTCAGATTTTTTTTTGGTTTTCAGTTATATACACTTAAGATTTATGATAAAATCTTACAAAATCAGATGCTACCAAAGTTTCTAATAACATGTATAAAGGATGAAAGTACAGTAATTATAAAAACCTTTTTCATAACTTAGCAATACAACTGATATAATATATACATTGAACAAATATTCACAGCACAATAGCCATGATAACATTAGTATTCAGATAGTCATTAATGTACAAACAATGTCAAATCATGTAAGAGAATATATGCCAAATCAACCAGCAGGTACAGATTTTTTATGCTGAACTATTCAATTATTTTACATCATGAACAAACACTAATTGAATAAACTTGAAACTAGATGGTTTTTTCCACTGATTTAATGTACATGTACATCTTTCTTATTGTGGCATATTTATCCCATACAAGTTTCGTTTTTGATGAAATGTTTGTCACATACATGTATAACACAGAAATGCATGCTTCTATGAGAAGATAACACAACAATCTAAATAAAATTGCATGAATCATAAATAAATCTAGATTTAGTTTCAGAGTAAATTGACCTTTCAGACCATTTTAATATTGCTGAAGGATAGAAATTTTAATGTTACAAATCCTATATTAATATAATTACAATTGATTTACTTTTTTGTCCCCTGCGCCACATATTGCAGGGGACATAGAAATACCGGGCGTCCGTCTGTCTGTCCGTGCATCTTTCTGATCAGTCTTGTTAGCACTCTCACATGTACATTTCTTGCCAGTTTTTTATAAAATTTATATCATAAGTTTATATTAGCATTGTTTCAGACAAGTTCAAAAATCAGTGCCTACCAACAATTTTTATAGGAGTTATGCCCTTGGAAATATTAATTATATGGAAAATTACATTGTTAGCGCTCTCATGTAAACAATGTTTCGATATTTTTATGAAACTTATGTCATAGGTTTATATCAGCAATGTCTGGGACATGTTTGAAAACCTTAACATGGAATTATCCACATTTTGAGTAAGAGCTGGTAGACTTTTCCATAATTTGTCCTAAATGTAGTACACTACACTGTTAAAATCTTTTTTGAAATATAACAGGTGTTATTTTTTATGGCCCCACAACAAAGCTGTCGGGGCCATATAGTTTTACCCTTATCCGTCATGCATTCATTCTGTCATTCCGCAACAGTTATACAGATTTTTTTCTAAACGCCTTCATATATTGAGCTGATTTTTAGTATGTGAGCCAACTATGATGAGTTACAGATTGGGTTAATGTTTGGTTCCGTTCTGCTGATTTTTGCTGAAATTATGGACTTTGGACTTTGAAAATTTCGTGAAAATAAGTTATACAGACTTTTTTTCTAAATGCCTTCACATATTGAGCTGATTTTTAGTATGTGAGTCAACTATGATGAGTAACAGATCAAGTTTACGTTTGGTTCCACTCCACTGAATTTTGCTGAAATTTCAGGCTTTGGACTTAAAATTACGTGAAAATAAGTTATACAGACTTTTATTTCTAAATGCCTTCACATATTGAGCTGATTTTAAGTATGTGAGTCTACTATAATGAGTAACAGATCAAGTTTACGTTTTGTTCCACTCCACTGATTTTTGCTGAAATTACGGGCTTTGGACTTTGAAAATTTCATGAAAATAGCAGTTATACAGACTTTTTTTCTAAATGTCTTCACATTTTGTGAAAAAAAACCCAGTTACTGTGAAAGTCCTTTTATTAGTGTGGTACCAAATTTAGTGGTTATCCTGGATGGCTTTATCCACGAACTTAAGTGTCCAACAAAATATAACAACTGTTGTCTAAATCAAGACATAGAAAGATCCCCATGTAGGTTTGACTACATGGATACGGGCAATCTAGAGAATACATCAAATATCAGCAAATGCACTATGAACTATATATACAACTTGAGACATGAAAAATTAATTTTGATTTTGATTGATGAAAGTCAGACTTTCAGTGAGGATATGCAATGAAAAAAAAATTCATATTAGGCTTTTTTATTCAATAAGAATTAATCCTACAATTCAAAATACATTTGTAGCAAATTTTTATGCCCAATTAACATCTTTGATGATCAGTTGAACATTTGATCTGGGGTTGATAAGTGTCATCACTTTTTATTACACATAAATGAATCAGCTTATTTCCGAGCCAATTATTTTATTAAAAATTTTATGAATGTTGTCTGTAATGAAAGAGGAACAAGTTCATGAAAATGAACACCTTATTTTTACAATGACCCACAAATCATTATAAACAACATATGATCATCAGGATTACTTTCAAGAATCTTCTTTTCTGATGGTTTCAAATTCTTCACTTGAATTTAAGAACTCATGAACATGTAACTTTTTCTCAAACCATGAAAAATTGATACCCACGAATAAAAGTACTTCCACATTTTTAGCCCACCTGGCCCAAAGGGCAAAGTGAGCTTTTCTCATCACTTGTCGTCTGTCGTTGTCTGTTAACTTTTACAAAAATCTTTTCTTCTGAAACTGGGCCAAATTTAACCAGACTTTGCCACAATCATCAGGGTATCTAGTTTAAAAAATGTGTTGGATGATGCCACCTACCAACCAAGATGACTGACATGGCTAAAATAGAACAATTATAGGGGTAAAATGCAAGTTTTGTCTATTATTTTGAAAACCATTTTAAATAGATAAAATCTGACAGGGGCAGAAATGTTCAACATAATGAGCTCTACCAATTTCCATATACGTCAAAACTGTCAGCTGGTCAGGTGACTTCTGATAGGAGTTATAGCCCTTATATAACAAATTTTACCATTTTTAGCTCACCTTTCCAAAGGAAATGTGAGCTTTTGCCATCACTTGGCGTCCGTCGTCGTCTGTCGTTGTCCTTCGTCGTCCGTCTGGTGTAAACTATTTCAAACATCTTCTCCTCTGAAACTACTGAACCAATTCCAACTAAACTTAAGCTGAATGATCCTTAGGGTATTTAGAATAAAGTTTATGTTTTATTTTCTGTTTTGTCAAAAAACAATGGCCGTCATGGCTAAAAATAGAACATAGGAGTAAAATGCTGTTTTTGGCTTATATCTCAAAAACTAAAGCATTTACAGCAAATCTGACATGGGGAAAATGTTCATTAGGTCAAGTTCTATCAGCCCTGAAATTTGTAGATGAATCTAACAACCCATTGTTGGGTTGCTGCCACTAAATTGGTAATTTTAAGGAAATTTTGCAGTTTTCGGTTATTATCTTGAATATTATTATAGATAAAGATAAACTGTAGACAGCAAAAATTTTCAGCAAAGTAAGATCTACAAATAAGTTTATATGACCAAAATTGTCAATTGACCCCTTAAGGAGTTATTGCCCTTTAAGGACAATTTTACACAATTTGTTTATCATGTTTTCTAATTTTAAAAAATCTTCTCCTCTGAAACTACAGAACCAAATTAAACCAAACTTAAGCTGAATGATTCTTAGGTTATCTAGAATAAAGTTTGTGTTTTATTTTCTGTTTCCTCAGAAAACATGGCCATCATGGCTAAAAATAGAACATAAGGTAAAATGCAGTTTTTGACTTATATCTCAAAAACTAAAGTATTTAGAGCAGGTCTTGAATGTTATTGTAGATAAAGATAAACTGTAAACAGCAAAAATGTTCAGCAAAGTAAGATCTACAAATAAGTTTTCTATGACCAAAATTGTCAATTGACCCCTTAAGGAGTTTTTGTCCTTTAAAGACAATTTTTCACAATTTGTTCATCTAGTTTGCTTACTTAAAAAAATCTTCTCCTTTGAAACTGCTGAATCAATTTCAAACTTGGGTTAGAATGAGTTTCAGAGTATCTAGTATAAATTTTGTTTTTTATTTCCTTGTATAGCCACTATGGCTAAAATGGAACATAGGGGTAAAATGCATTTTTTTGCTTTTGAAGAAAATATGACTGATACAAAGAACATTTAAATGGCATTTTTAAGCCACTCATTAATATATATTGAAAAGCAAAAATAATCAGTTATGAAAGATTTAAGCAAAAAATTACAGGTGAGTGATTTAGGCTCTTGAGAGCCTCTTGTTTTTCATTTTTGCCTATTATCTTGTAAACTATAATAGATAAAGAGAAACTTTAAATTGCAAAAATGATCAGCAAGACAGGTTCTACAAATAAGTATTTCATGGTCTAAATCATCAGCCGACTTCTTATTAGAGTTATTGCCCTTTGATGATGATTTTTACCATTCTTTTTGCGTTTTTGCCTTATATCTTAAAAATTATAATAGATAGATAGAATCTTAGATCAGCAAAAATGATCAGGAAGACAAGATCTACAATTAAGACACATAGAGAAAATTGTCCGACGACTCCTTATTGGAATTATTGCCTTTTAATGACGATTTTTACCATTTTTTTTAATGTGTTTTGCCTTACATGATAAAAATTATAATAGATAAATAGACACTTTAAATCACAAAAATGATCAGGAAGCCAAGATCTACTAACAAGTCAAATTTTGCCAATATAGGTAGTAGACTGTCACTCTGTATATATAGGAGTGATTGCCCTTAAATAAGGATTTTTTTTTACCCTCTTTTGTGTTTTGAGCAAAAACTAAAGAAAATAGAGAGAAACTAAACAGACTAATGATCAGCAATACAAGATCAACAAAGTAAAGATTTTTGTCATGAATACTATTCTTGTCTACAATGTTGGAGCGTGTCCTTTGTTGAATATGCACATAGACTAAGGTGAGCAACACAAGCTCTTTTGATCCTCTAGTTAGTATATGAGTCTTCTTTGATGAGTTACAGATTGAGCTTATGTCTGGTTCCTCTCCACTGATTTGTGCCGAAATTATGGGCTTTGGACTTAGGAAATTTCAAGATAACAGTTATACAGAATTTGAATTAATTTTAATTTTAATTTAAAGAAATGCATTACGAGATAACTGTGTTCTCAGGTCATATATTGTACTAAACTTAATGAACTTCAGACATGTTCTTTATTATTTTAGCGTCAGAATTTGATACTAAAGTTTGTGATTACTGTGGTCTAGTTTTCTATGGACGTTTTGCCTATGTCAGCAAAAGCAGTCATATGAGGAAGATCCATGCAGGTATTTATTTATAGTATCCTATAATACCTTACAACACTTTAAGGACTGTTGAATGAAAATTTGTCGGCCTAAATAACTAAATTGGAATCTATTTCATCAGTTTATTTTGCTATGTAAACTAACATGACTGAGATGTTGTATGATTGCCAATGAGACAACTATCCACTAGAGTCTAAATGAAGTGGATTGAAGCAATTTGTGTTTCCTCAGTAAAGCATTCATTAACCGAATGATTTTATAATGAATTGACTATCATACAAGCTGATGTTAATTTTCGTATTTATGGAGTGTACAATTAAAAAGATTTGTGAATGTATGCTGTGATTTCTTGGATTTTAATGAATATTATATTTTCATTTACTAGACAACTTTTGTGAAATTTTTTCCACAAATAAAGAGATTTATTGTGGAAGTATTTTTTCTCCTGCAGATTATCTGGGGTATAAAGATAGAGCACTAAAAACAATATTATAAAATATTTTTATTGTTCTTATGTCATTTCATACCAAACATATATTGGTCCCAGTCTTTCTCCTGAGTAGATATACATTTGATTATAAGATTTATTTTTGTAGATGTTCATAAGTTGAGGTATAAAGATAGAAGAACCAATACCCCAGATTTTATACCTGATTCAGTGTTTGTGTGCCATCTCTGTGGGACAAAATGTAGATACAGAAATAGTCTGAAAATACATCTGATGAAAAAACATAATGGTGCTGAACTACCAGAGGTCCTCATAACAGAAAAAGTTACTCCTGCAGTGAAGAAACCAGCTGTTATGTTTTTTTGCCCATATTGTGATAGAAAATACCAGTCAAGAGATAGTGTGCTAAGACACTGTCGGGAACATCATAAAGGTAATGAAGAGCCCAAGGAGTTCCAGACAGAAATAGGGATTCAATATAGTCAGCGAACAGTTTTACCATCAACTCCAAATTCTCAGGATTCAGAACCTAGTCATAGCACAGACAAGAAATCTGAGTCTGTGGAGTCACTTCTGGCAGTTAAAACAGAAACACGGAAAGAAAAAAGGAGGAATAGAGAAAGACTTAAAAAACTGAAAGAATATAGCGAGTTAATGATGAAGTCCAAAGAACCAGATGAATTGGTTGTTGTCATTAAAAAAGAACCTTGTGAATCAGTTTTTGAATCAACAGCTGTAAATAAAACAGAACATTTTTTAACAACAGGGGGCAGCACTGCAGGTAAAGGAAATAAGGATCAGTCAAGGAGAACAATTAGTAAAAGAAAGTCAAAGCCTGTGAAGAGGAAAGTTGCACAACCTGATGAAGAAAGTCAGAAAAGGAGGAGAACAACTGATATTTCAAGTGAAAATGATCAGGTTCAGATGACAGATGAAGAAATGGATAAAAGAATAGAAAATGAGATTGCACTTTTTTTTCAAACAAGTAATGATGCCACGAAAAACAAAAAAATAAATAAAAGAAAGATGAAGAAATGCAAAGAACATTCTGAATCAAATATAATGGTAAGTGATCCAATTAAACAAGAGTCGTTGTCTGACGCAGTGAATATTAATACAACTGAACAGGAAATGTTCATTCATCCCATACCTCTTCTTCCTGGAAACTTACAAAGTAAAAGATCTAAACAAAAGTCCAGTGTCAGTCTCTCTTGTAAAAATGATGGAGGACAAAGTCCAAGCCAATCTGACACTTCACTGAATAAGGATGAAATAGATCAATCATTGAAAAGCCTGTCAAGTAGAAGTTTAGAGCATATTGAGAAACCTCTCCATCAAAGGTCTAATGAGGAAGAAAAAGACACTAGTCAGGAAGAATCTGAAATTACTAACATAGAACACAAATCTCCTGTGAGAATAGAAAGAATTGATTTGGATGAAAGTTCAGATTTTGAGGGAGAACCATTAAAAACCGATATCAAAGATGCTTTACATCAAAGACTTATCATTGCAAGGGATCAGTTAAACTACACACCAGTGACAAAATCTGGATCAAGTCAGAAAGAAACTGAAATTGGTAACAAAGAAGACAAGTCTTTAGAGAGAAAAGAGATAATTGATATTGATGATAGTTCAGATTTGGAGGAAGAACCAATAAAAACTGGCATCAATGAGGATGAAAGTCATGATGAAGATAATGATAAGTCTGTAATGTTGGCCATACATGAAGTACTACATGGACATGATGGAGATACTGTGGGTAGAAAAAGTATATTTGACCATTTGTCAGAGAGAGATCAACTAAAAATAGCACTGAATACCTCAGACCAGAACAACATTGAAACTAAAGATCCAAATAGTGAGGAAATTCTGTAAACAAATGTATTTTTTATTTTCTAATTATACAGCATAGATTTCTTCAACCATCTATTATTAAACAATTATATGTATGATACTTTAACTTGGTAAGATATTCGTGGTTTTAAATGTTGGCTTCTTTGCCACCGACATGTTTAAAAGAGTTCAATCAAGAGTACAACGTTGAAGGAACCCTTCATTGGTCATCTATATAATATATTGTATGTTTCAAGCCTTGAAGTTGCTGATATGCCCAGTAATTTATTCCAGAGGCTGATTTCATACTCTCATTGTGTAAAAAGATGCATCAATGATTTGAACACTGTTATACATGTATCACAAAAACAGATGATTTATGCATTAATGATAATTAATATAACAGTGCAAAGTTTAAAATGCTAGATTTTTCAACTGTTACGCATATTCATAGATTTTACTGTTGATAGATAGCATAAATTTCATTTTCTGTAAAAAAAGAATGACAGAAATTGCATTTTTGTCGAGCCTGCGACTTTTGTCGCAGAAAGCTCGACATAGGGATAGCGATCCGGCGGCGGCGGCGGCGTTAGCTAACTTCTTAAAAGCTTTATATTTTAGAAGATGGAAGACCTGGATGCTTCATACTTTGTATATGGATGCCTCATGTTACGAAGTTTCCGTCAGTCACATGTCCAATGTCCTTGACCTCATTTTCATGGTTCAGTGACTACTTGAAAAAAAAGTTCAGATTTTTTGTAATGTTAAATTCTCTCTTATTATAAGTAATAGGATAACTATATTTGGTATGTGCGTACCTTGCAAGGTCCTCATGCCCGTCAGACAGTTTTCACTTGACCTCGACCTCATTTCATGGATCAGTGAACAAGGTTAAGTTTTCGTGGTCAAGTCCATATCTCAGATACTATAAGCAATAGGTCTAGTATATTCGGTGTATGGAAGGACTGTAAGGTGTACATGTCCAACTGGCAGGTGTCATCTGACCTTGACCTCATTTTCATGGTTCAGTGGTTATAGTTAAGTTTTTGTGTTTTGGTCTGTTTTTCTTATACTGTATGCAATAGGTCTACTATATTTGGTGTATGGAATGATTGTAAGGTGTACATGTCTAGCTGGCAGGTGTCATCTGACCTTGACCTCATTTTCATGGTTCAGTGGTCAAAGTTAAGTTTTTGAGTTTTGGTCTTTCTTTCTAATACTGCATGCAATAGGTCAGCTATATTTGGTGTATGGAATGATTGTAAGGTGTACATGTCTAGCTGGCAGGTGTCATCTTACCTTGACCTCATTTTCATGGTTCAGTGGTCAAAGTTAAGTTTTTGAGTTTTGGTCTTTTTTTCTGATACTATATGCAATAGTTCAACTATATTTGGTGTATGGAAATATTTTATGATCTATATGTCAGTCACGCAGGTTTTATTTGACCTTGACCTCATTTTCAAGGTTCATTGCTCAGTGTTAAGTTTTTGTGTTTTCGTCTGTTTTTCTTAAACTATAAGCAATAGGTCAACTATATTTGTTGTATGGAAGAATTGTTAGCTGTACATGCCTGCCTAGCATGGTTCATCTGACCTTGACCTCATTTTCATGGTTCATTGGTCAATGTTTAGTTTACTTGGTTAATGTTAAGTTTATGTGACAGTTGTAATAAAGCTTTATATTTAGGACTATCAACATAATATCAATGATTAGTAAAGAAGGCGAGACATTTCAGCGTGTGCACTCTTGTTTGACTTTCACTAAAAAAAATTGAATGAGTAGCATGGACTTTTATATGATGTCACAAGCATTTTCTAAATTGACATCATGGATCATAAACTACCTTTTTTTTTTGTTATGGATTACCTCAAGCTTAAAAAAGACATAAATGCAAGTCTGAAATTAAAAGTGAAAAAGGCAAAGGAAAGCCCTTATAAGCCCTGTCCTTTATAAAAAGTCATTGATTCATTGAATATGCATTCAATATTAAAAAATGTCATAACTGTATAATTCATTTATATTTATCCTAACAAATAATATTATGACAATGAAAAAAATTAAATTTGTTTTGCATCCATAATCAGTCTAATATTTAAAGGGATCATAGAACCATTTACTGATTTTTGTGGAATCATTGATTGAACTCTGCTATCATGATGTAAAAGCCATACTAGTGTTGGTATTAATCAAAAGTTTTTTAAGTAGACATTTTTTCATTGTCATTTGAAGGACTGCATATTAATCATCTTTTTATTCTGTAATTCTGAATATTGTATGTAACCAATATATATAGCTAAGTATTACAGTGGACTAAATATGTGTTGTTGGGTTACTGTGTAAGTTATGTCTACTCTTATGAACATCTTATAAAGACCTGAATCTATTCAAAAGCTGACTGTTTTCATCCAAACAAACAAAATTAAAGTATATTGGTATTTAATAAGTCCTCTGTTTTACCAAAATTTGTAGAAAGTTACATTTGTAGCACAGTACATTTCAAAGTGTAGAACTATACAGAATTTTTGATAATGATTTATTTCATGTGCCAAAAAATGTACATTTTAGTAATTTTCACAGAGTCTCCAATTAGAACAGATATAACTGCAAAAGTAAATACCCACAAATAAAATACTGTGGATTCATTTATTTTTGTGGGTACCAATTTTGTGGATTACAGAAATCTTGCATTTTCGAGGATATGTGATTTCGTGGTTCTGCCAAAGTCTGTTTACATCTTTATAGAAATTTGTATTTCGTTGAACATTTAAATTCGTGGTTCACCTGTACCCACAAAACCCACGAAAATTGGTATAATAATGATTCCACAGTATTACCAACCACAAAGCAAATTTGCATGCTTTTGAAATTAACAAAATGTCATAGAACAGAGGTCTAAGCAAATAGGAACAAACTGTTTGTGGATTTAGCATCTTTTGATAACTTCAAATGTCAACTAAACTTTTGAAATCTGCCCTCAAACTATTGGATTTATATTAGTATCTTAAATATACTCACAGGCAATATTTGCATATAGAAAGTTGATTTTGTTTAAGCTCATATGTAGACCTTTTTATGTTTTTTTGCTTTTATTGTGGTGTAGGGCTCCTTTCATTTAAGTTAAGCATAATGTCCTTATAATTTGAATTCTGATATTTATAAAGCTATTTTGATATCTATATAAATTCTTTCAATGAATATTCGCTTAATTATGCAAACAGAAAGAAAGGCCTCCTATCAGAATTTTGGCAGAATTTTTTTTTTTAACTATAAACAGAACAGCAGTATAAGTTCTTGTTTGTTGTAGGGGCCTCTGTGGCTTAGTTGTCTGAGTAGTTCACTAACCTGTCAACACTGAGGTTGTGAGTTTGAATCCTCACTTGGCAGGTGTGATCGACTCTAATTTTAATGGTCTAGGATTGCAAGTTTTCCTGCCGAGGTCAGTGGTTCTAACCCGACACTCTGGCTTCCTCCACCGATAAAAACTGATCACCAAGAAATAGCCAATAGTGCTGAAAGTGGCTTTAAACACCAATCAATCAATCTGTTATGTTGTTGCTGTTATTGAGCATTGGGGATGAAAGGGATACAGATCTCAGATGATTCTAAGTGGGTTTTTTTTGTAAAGGCTTACATAAGAGTTATTTAATACTTCAAAAAAAAAATTAACTGACATTGAAAGTTCATGTAATGCACAAAATAATTAAGGATCACTACCATTTGGAGTAATTTTATAATACTTTTTATCACCCATCAAATAAAAAATTATAGACATACTATTTATATTGATTGAAGTTTTTTTATGCCCCCTCCGCTACGGGGGCATTAAGTTTTACCCTTGTCCGTCTGTACGTCCGTACATCAGTACGTCCCGTAATTGGTTTCCCTTCACTAACTTTAGTTTGCCTAAACCAAATGTTATGAAACTTATACACAATGCTTATTACCACAAAACACAGATCAAGTTCGAATTTGGGTGGTGTCGCTTTTACCTTTCTAGAGTTATGCCCCTTTCCAAATTGAAAAATTGCATAATTTTTTGTTTCCGTTCCCTAACTTTAGTTTGCCTCAACCAAATGTTATAAAACTTATACACATAGCTTATTACCACAAAACACAGATCAAGTTTGAATTTGGGTGGCGTCACTTTTACCTTTCTAGAGTTATGCCCCTTTACAAATGGAAAAATTTCTGAATTTTTCGTTTCTGTTCTCTAAAGTTTGCCTCAACCAAATGTTATGAATCTTATACACAATGCTTATTTCCCAAAACACAGTTCAAGTTTGAATTTTGGTGGTGTCACTTTTACCGTTCTAGAGTTATGCCCTTTACAAATAGAAAAATTGCTGAATTGGTTTCCGTTCTGTAACTTAAGTTTGCCTCAACTAAATGTTATGAAACTTATACACAATGCTTATTACCAGAAAACTCAGATCAAGTACGAATTTTGGTAGGGTCATTTTTACTGTTCTTGAGTTATGTCCCTATATAATGTTATATGCAAGGGGGCATCATTTGTGTCCCATGGACACATTCCCCATTTATTGTTTATTAAATCGACACATCTGATTTAATTTTTGTTCAAAAATTTTGTCTTCTAATATTTCAATATAAGCATGTTTAGAGTTTCGAAAAAAATTCATAATTTTTCATTGAAAAATTATTTCATGAACTTTAATTACTTTTTTAAACTATTTTCCATATGTATACCAAAAATCAGCACATTTGAAGGCTTAATGAAAGAGATTGTGACCCTTTTCTTTGAGTAACAAATTTGGTTTGGGAAAATTCATCCTTTTTTCAAGGCATTTTTTAATGATTTAAACTTTTTCAGGCTTTTTTGTTTTTTTGTTCAGTGTATTAAAGAAAACCTTACAAATTCATGATTGAAGATCACAATAGTATAAATTGAATCAACACCATACTGCTTAGTTATAAGAAATGTACATGTAGTGCTGAATGGCTTGAGCTTCCTTCTGCATTTGTTTTATGTTGATGCATGTAGAAGATAAGAATAGTCACATTTTTCATATTATTTGTAATTAATAATTGTTGATTTTAACTTGTTTACGTTCAATGTAACATACCTGCAGATTATTCATGCATCTGTATCTGTATTTGTTTATGATCATTTACCATGGTAGGGAATTTCTATAATGGGATTAACCTTTATTTGGAGTCTAACATTTGTATAATAGCAGCTTATATAATTTCCAGAAAAATGTAGTTGTTCAAAAACTTAAATTACGTGTTTGTCTTCCATTGAGATAGCTTTTAAATGTCATTAAGTAAAAAGGCAAATTAGTTTTAGTAAAGTCATGGGGCTAAACTTGTTTGATTGATCACCTGATCTTAAAGTCAAGTTACAGTAAATGGGCACAGTGCAGGAAATGCTGGGGAAATATTGTGATGTTTTATAAAATACAGTCGTTGTCATTGACCACCTTGCAACTTGTGATGTTGCAGCATAAGGACATTTTTCTCTGTTCTTTAAATATTTTGCCAATTATTCTCTATGCTTTATATTTCAGCACCCTATTATTCTCCATTCTTTCCTTTGTTGCCTTTTTTTCTCTTTTCTTTATTTTTTTTACCATTTTACTGTAGTATTGGCCTATTACGGTATTCTATACACTGTAAACCCCATCCAGACCCTTGAGCATGGTACAGTAAATCTTATGAGTTTATGGTTTAGGAAGGTTTTCGTTATTTATATATAAAAATCTTTTGGGTTAAATTGACTTCAATTCACATTAGAGTATTTAAGAATTAAACAACAACAAGAACAGAAGTTTCAGATATTATCATCTGATAGTGGGACATTATAAAATAATTAAAATAACATTGTGACTGTTAACAGTTTCCATGCAATAATTTATGAATTGTTCAACCAATGCTTTTCAAATTTCAATATGTTGTTACCTTTTACAAAATTGATGTCAAGTTGGAAATGGACTATTTTCACTTTTGCTGTTCAGGAATAATGGTCCTTGATAGATTGGAAAATGGCACTTTTTGTCCAAACAGGCACATAGAGAATGTGTCAAGTCAAACAAGCCTGAAAGCACCCTTCATTTGTACATAGGAATACATTAATTTCAGTCTTACAAGCTGCCTAAGTTCAATAATGGTTACCTTCAAAGACAGAAAAACTGGTATCCTGTCAATTTGACAGCTCCTTCTTTGTTTGTATGTTGTGTTGGTTCTACAGGGAATACAAAGTCAGTGACCACCATTTTGTTTTACATCATTGGATTCCTTAAACAATGACGAATGAAATATCAATTAAAAAATCTATTTTCTTAGTTTAAAGATTTATGTATGAAAACTAGAAGAATGAAGTTTTGTTTTTTCCTATACATTCTAAGTAATTTTATAGCTTTGATGTACATTTTACACTACTCTTTTACTAGTAAACAAGGTCAGTGACATACAGTCGTATTTACATGTTCATTAACAAAATCTTATCTATTGCAAAATGAAAAAAAATGCTATGGACAGGTTTTTATGCCCCACCTACGATAGTAGAGGGGCATTATGTTTATCGGTCTGTGTGTCCTTTCGTTCTTTCTTCCGTCTGTCCCGCTTCAGGTTAAAGTTTTTGGTCTAGGTAGTTTTTGATGAAGTTGAAGTCCAATCAACTTGAAACTTAGTACACATGTTCCCTATGATATGATCTTTCTTATTTTAATGCCAAATTAAGAGTTTTGACCCCAATTACACTGTCCACTGAACATATAAAATGATAGTGCAAGTGGGGCATCCGTGTACTATGGACACATTCTTGTTTTATGATATTTTACCTTAACCTCATTTTCATGGTTAAAAAATAAATGTTCTTTTTATGAGTAGGTCTATTTATTAATTACAATGAATATAAGTTGCTATAATTGCTTTCATCCACTTTATTTGAACATTGGTGGATAATAGTCTCTTTGGCAATCATACCACATCTCCTTATTTTTATATAGAGCTACTATATTTGTTCAAAAGAATCAATGTTACATGTACATTTTGTTATTACAGATTCACATGACCTTGACTTAATTTTCTTGGTCTATTGATTTATTTTAAGTTTTTTCCATATACTTAGTATAATCATCAACTTAATTTTGGTGAGTGTCTCTGCAGTGTCTGCACTAATGTTTTTTGCCAAGACTGCCTGGCTGAATACTGTCAACATATTATTCAGTTATAATCAATTGAGCAGGCACCATATATCAGCATGTGCACTCTGGTTTATTGTTGTTTTTGTTTTTAACCCTTGCTTCTGATTTCTTAGCAGCGGAACATGTACAGTAGCTTTTATGGTCCTTGGGATGGTAGGCAAATACAAAAAAAAAATATCCAAAGGATCAGAAGAGCTATTTTTTTTGCAGCTTCTAATTTTTGTGTTCACAAAATATTGTTTCCATAATAAATTTCAATGATAAGAGATGTTTCAAGAGCTTTAAAACCAAAAGGGCCTACACAGAATATAAAAGGCCAAATAAATGTATCTAGCCTTTTTAGTCAGTAGAATTTTATTGTGAAGTAATAATAACAGATTTTTCTGTCCAGTTCCAATACAGAAAACCTTCTTAACTTCACAGATAGTGTGACAATTTTTATTTACATTATTTCTGTTCATGTGAGAGTAGGGAAAATGTATTAGTTTACACTCATTTGAAATTACAAATCTTATGTTATGAAACTTTTAAGAAGTTTGAAAATCATTTGTCTAATCAACTAATTCAGGGGCAGGGGTTTGAACTTTCCAGAGAAGAGTGGTTGGTAAAACTTTTGGTCCTTGGTTAATTTTGTTGGAGTGATTGGTTGTTGTAAATATATTAGTCTTAATGTAACAAAAGTATCATCAGTTGTTAAAATAAGTTGTTTTATCATCAGAAGGTAGATTTACATTCGACTGTTTCATGTTTATTCTGTGTAATAATGTATATTATCAGCAAGTATACTTGTTGTAACCCTGTGTTAACATTATTATAAATAAAAATATGACATAACATCCAGAGTTTCTCTATCACATGTTATAACAAAGGTTCATAGTATAGTCTTTTCTGTGTCAGCATATGCATAGTTGACAAGATTTTTCTCAAACTCTTATACTTCAGTCGTCAGGGTTAGATTATTTTCAGTATGAGGTCATTTCCTCAGCTCAGTATTTTACATGACAAGTTAACAATATTTTATGTATGTGTAGTTAATTTTGGTATGATTCATTGTATATGCTGTAAGCCTTAAATGCACGTTCCAGTGAACTGGAAGTGTCCATAATTAGTTCGGTTCCTCATAAAACACACATTATATGTCAGGAATATTTGGTATGATTGGTTGCCAGACATTGAAGATATTGATCAAATGTCCATCCTCCAGAGGTCAGGTTAGAATTTTCAGAATAAAATACATGTAGATCTTCATTAACCATGCATCATAAATAATAGTTTGAAAAGCTTTTGTGCATGAATACACTAATTGCATATGAACGATTGCATTTGACAGATTTCATTTCACCATTGAGGAGACTTCAGTTTTGAGTTCATTGACCTTAAAAAATCTTAATTTTACAGTAGGCTAGACATTTTATTGGCTTTAATGCTGGTGCCACCATTTGTGTGCTTGCAGATACTATTTAATCTTACTTTATGTAGCACAATGGCTCAATACAGATATATCCATATGATAATTAGTCCCCTACCGACGAAGTCGAAGGGGACTATAGGTTTGCACTCTGTCTGTCTGACTGTCCGTCCGTCCGTCAGTCCGGCAAATCAGTTTTCCACACTTTTTTCCTTTGTGCTTGAAGATATTGATTTGATATTTGGTATATAGTTTTATCATGACAAGTTACAGATCAAGTTTGAATTTTGTTCCTGTCTGATGATTTTTAGCAGAGTTATGGTCCTTGGACTTAGAAAATTAACACAAATAATCAGTTTTCCACACTTTTTTGTTATGCTTTCATATATTGATTTAATATTTGGTATATAGTTTAACAATGACAAGTTACAGATCAAGTTCAAATTTTGTTCCGGTCTGATGATTTTGTGCAGAGTTATGGTCCTTGGACTTAGAAAATTCACGCAAATAATCAGTTTTCCACACTTTTTTTTGGGTATGTTTGAAGATATTGATGTGATATTTGGTATATAGTTTTACCATGACAAGTTACAGATCAAGTTCGAATTTTGTTCGGTTCAGATGATTATTTTGCAGAGTTATGGACCTTGAACTTAGAAAATTCACGCAAATAATCAGTTTTCCACACATTTTTTTTGTCATGCTTGAAGATATTGATTTGATATTTGTTATATAGTTTACACCATGACAATTTAAAGATCAAGTTAGCATTTTGTTCCATTACAATGAATTTTTAACCAGTAGGGGACTATGTATTGCCATGCAATACTCTCAGAATGCTTGTTCATGTAGATATTAGGTCAAATCATGTAACTTTGTACAAACAGTTGAAAGCATTAAAAAAAAACACAATACACTGTATCTGATTGTCGTTAGTAGAGAACATGAACAAGATTGTGAACAACCAATTGAGAAATTTAGCTTCAAATAATAGTTCTTACTCTAAAAGATCAACTCAGTGCTGGTTAATAATTCTATGTGTCAGAATCTAAAATATTGGTGGTATTATCAGTGTAAGTTGCGATGGATTGTTGGCTGCTTAATGTCCAGTGGCAAATATTACAAGAATATTAAAGAACGATATTATTTTGATTAAGGTATTAATATATGCTGTGTACAGTACTAGACAAGACCGACATATGCACCAAGAAGAATTTTAACGCCCTAGCGGCTGATGGTTAAAGAAAAAAATATATTTAAAAAAACCCACTCCAAGGTAAATTCAAAACTGGGAAGTGTATAAAACCTCACAAAACAACCGCTTGACTAGATCAACCAACGGAACGAATGGAAACCACCTCATATTCCCGACTTGGTACAGGAATTTCCGAAGTAATTGGTGGGTTATAAACCATGTCGATGATTCATAGCTAGCTAAATCTTCCTCTTGTATGACAGTTGTTTATAGGCCTGTTATATAAACAGAATTGTGTGAGAAAACCAAACAGATATAATTGGTTAACGTGCAGAGGAAGACATGTCATCTACACGGACACCTAATTCCGACTTCGAGTCAACTAGTTTTTCTCATACTCTTAGATGACATATTCTTAACATTAAAGCATCAAACAGCAATTTTACAGTCATGGGTTTGATCTAGCCGAGGATTGAACCCACAACCTTCCACACTCGAGGCGAGTGCACTACTACGTGATCACCGAGTTGTATCCATTGGTTAGATATCCGTTCATCGTTTACTTGGGACTTGTTAAGCTGAAGACAACGTTTTGGAGTACGCTATATGAAAATGTCGCATATCAAGATCGTAATAGATTCTGGTTGGTGTAAATACAAAATCGGTGTCATGATAAAAACCTGGTCATGATAAAAGAAGGGCTATGCACACTGGATGTTCAACTCTACACATCTTTAAAAACTCTTGGGTGCTTTTGTTTAATCTGCATTTAACTTGACCGTGTACTCATTTTCATGGTGTACTGGTCAAACTTGCGTTATTTAATTATACTATGAGCAGATACATTATCGTGTAAATGGTATTATGTGTCTCGGTCTGCTTTGGGTATTAGATCAACTAATTTTGGCTCTTAAGAATCTTATTAAGTTGAAAATTTCCGTTTGACAGGATTTACACGACCATGACAATGACCTAATTTTCATGCTTCATTGACCAAGTTAATTTTTTCTCATGTCATAAATTTTAAATTTCATCATATTATTCAATCAGGATCACCTAAGAAGGTGAGATACATGTATTAAGCGTACGTGTAAATCTTATCAGTATTTTCCCTGTCTTTTCTTTCTTGGATGAATTGGTCCTTTTGGATTAATGAATGAGAAAATAGGTGACAATTGTTCCTATATTCAGGGATATGATTTTTATTACGCACATAAAAGAGAAGGAGAGTTATTATGAATTCGAGTGCAAAATCGATTTAAATGATACACGCACTGCCAGACAGATGTACAAGCTGATAACTATAAGCGATCTGTCGATTAATCGACAGTGCCCTTATAATTATGACCATTATGCTGCCTATTAAAAATCTGTAATACTACAGGGGCGTGTTTTTTTGTTCTTCAGTAGTGAGCCAAAAGAGGTCCATTTCTGATTTTTTGCATTGGGAAGATCTCCTGGCTCTCTACTACCTCTTCTTTTTAAATAGGTAGTTTAGACGACATAGGCACATAACAAACATGGCGTCGCTTAGTCTAAATAACTTTAATAAATTTATGAATGCAGATATAATAGAATGTACGAAAGCCTATTAGGGTCACAAAAAAAAATGTTTATCTCGTAATTACGAGAAAACTATCGCGTAATTACGAGATAAGAAGTAATTTATCTCGTAATTACGCGATAATTATCGCGTTATTACGAGATAGTTATCGCGTAATTACGAGAAAATTATCGCGTAATTACGAGATAAGAAGTTTTTTTATCTCGTAATTACGAGATAAGAAGTTTTTATCTCGTAATTACGAGATAATTATCGCGTTATTACGAGAAAACTATCGTATAATTACGATATAATCATTTTCATACAAACATTAACGGTATATTGGAGTTATATCAAAAATATAATACATGCAAAGAACTTGCGATGTCATATTTAGGTAGTCAATGACAAAGATCAAGGCACCCCCTCCTCCTCGTTGGTAATGATAATAAATCCTCTTCCATTCTGACACTTTTTATTTGCAAATGGGTCGTTTAGCACTTATTCGACCAACTGGATTTTACTAGTATATTGAATTGGTGCCTTAAATATGTTAACAAGAGGTACAACCCTTGCTTTTGGGTACAAAAGTTGAAAATCTTATCGACTTTTTGTAAACGATATATACAGAGCGAAATTGGGTAAATGTCCCCTATAACAAGCTAATTCAAAAGTGTAATATAAGATAAAGATAAATGAGTTTTCATAACCCGTTCTCTTTGCGCTGTAGCATTTATACATTAACAAAGCAAAAAGCTTCTTTTGTTACTGCAAAGGCTCCCCCAACATGTTAATAAATTTCTAAAATATTGTTATATTTCTTCTTATTTCTTACGAAATTCGTATTTTGTTGACTATTTTCGTGATAAAGATAAATGAAATTTACCAAAAACAAAAACAACATTCGGTTGAGGGGAGGGGAGAGGGGCATATTTTATTATAACTAACAAGAAAGAGAGTAAATTAGTTATTATATCTGTTCTTATTGTACACCAGAGTTCGAATCCTTGCCCCGCCTAAATGCTTGTAAGACTCGCAACCTTTCTAAAAGCACTTAGTCATGAGGGGATCTACTTTCAACTTTTTCTTCTGTTTTTCCTGGTTCTCTTCGATAGAACCAATGGCAGTTGTATTTTACTTCCTCCGAAATTCTTGTGCCCATTTAAAACAAACTTTCTATTTGGCAATAGTAATAGTTTTATCCAGACACCGGTGACAAGCTCATTTGAACCTCTGGTATACTATGTGTTTATGTCTATGAGCACATATTAAAATGTAGATTTGGACACGCAAACACATGATGTAGTCAATCGGCTATAGTATATAGGCTTTTTAGAGGTGTTTTACGGATATGAATTAATTCCTCGCTTCCTTTTTACGCAATTAATTTATAAAATCATCTTTTATGTTTTAATAGTGGCCAATAACATAAATTATCTAACTTAAAAATTAATAAAAAAAAAGAGATTAAATTTCATTCAAAACTCGTAATTACGAGATAAATAATTTTTTTTGTGACCCTAATAGGCTTTAGTAAGAATGTGAGCTGTGAGATAAACGTTTTTATAGTATGACAGCCTTAGTAGGACATCCCCGTGGGACGATAAGCTGGATACATATAAGAACTACACGGACAATAACAGTAAGGGGCGACTATTTGATATTCTGGGGAGGGGGAGGCAGGAAGA